GTATGTATGAAGAAGAGAAAATTGAAAGTTTGAACCCTTGCCTTAATTAAGGGTGGTAAGGCTTGTAGTGGTTGTTTTATTACATCATATCATTCATACCCATCATATCATTCATACCCACGTAATCAAATGAGTATTATTATAGAATAATAATGATGAGATTAAACTATACCAATATCCTTTAGAGTCAGCCTCATGGCATCCATTATTGCATCATGTGTGTGCAAGAATAAGCCTTCGCTTTAAATTGAGCTTAGGGGTGGAAAGAAGCTTGGTAGCAATATCTGATAAACCTAGACGTGATTTTGTTCAACGGTTATACAAAATTTAGGTGGGAGGAGTTTAGGACTGAACGCATCCCCTATAATACATTTTGGGGTGATTTAGGTCTGATAGACATAAACATGATTTTGTTGAATAATCATACAAACACAAAATACCATAGTAATGTAATACAATATAAAAACAAATAAAGAGTTCGGCGTGACAGGGACATGCAGCCACAGATAACACGTCTTAGATGAGCATAATCGTGACACTCAACATCTCAAATATTTTGATAATTTAATTTATGAATTTGTCAGGTCTTCAAAGTCAAAGAAAATAGAAAGTTTGAGTTAATAACGTTTAACCAAACCCTTGCCTTAATTAATTAAAGCATAGTTGAGAGTACAGTACTGAGTCGACAACCGAGCTGTGGCTAGAGAAACAGCTTCCACACGCTCCACATGTGCGCAGAGTGTAACTAAGCGACTTAGATTAACATATAAATTTTTGGGTCGATGAACGAGTTGTGAATTGTGGCATTACGTAGGCTAGGGTGCACGAGTTTTCTTAGGTTGTGGGTTGTGTGTGTCTTGGGCTACCGAATTACCTCTTAGTTAAGGGTCACCTGAATCGAGTCTAACCAAACCTTCACTTCGTCTTCTACGCTTGACTACTCGACATCGTAACACTAGTTTCTTTCTCTTCTCCAACTAGTTTTTCAATAGCTACGAGCTCGATTCCGTTATCGTTGGTTACATTATACATTCATGACTTTGAAATAAGAATAAAATGTATTATTCAACATCTAAGCTCTACATAATGATGATTAAAAGAGTATTATGTATGAACAAACAAAATAGGAAGTTTGAATTAATAATGCGTAACATACGCTACATTATAACCTAATTGTTTAATTATATTCATACCCACGTAATTAAATTAGTATTATACCATAATAATAATAAAAAGATTAAATTATATAAAATACCTTGGATATGTTTAAATTATATACATTCATCTACCTTTAAATTTTCATTTTCTAAGATTTTGAAATTGTTTGAAAAATACACCATGATAAAATGAAAATTGACACGAAAATTGATGCACATGTCAGCTGATATGTAAAAATTTATTTTATGATTAATGTTCTATCAGATGTCGACGAAATATTCTAAATTGAAGTGAATGATCTTTTTCCTCTAAAGTTGAAACGGAATAGATAATTATATCACGTATACTTTTTAATATTTACCATTAACGAGCACTTTTTGAAATAATTTCAAGTTAAAGTTTTCAAAGTTTAGAAATATAATCGAAATATATTTCAAACTTCAAAAATAATTGGTATTTTAAACTAATAATTATTGAGCTTAATATCTTTATCCTTATCCTGGTTGGGTTACAATATGAGTAACGCCATGGCTCTCTATGAAAAGTTAAAAGTTGGAGGCTGATGTAGAATTAAGGATTCCGTTAAAAAGTTTCATGAAATAATTAATCAATAACCATACCACGTATCTAATGTCTTTTCAGATCAAATAAGAAGCTCCAAGTTACACGAAGGCGAATGGGACAAAGTTGACACTATCCTTTATTGGCACTAGATTTATGAATCTCCCTTTTTATTGGCGAAATTATCTCATTTGTGTAAATTATCTCATCTGCGGTCACACGAACTCTTGTTGATTTAGTTTTTAGTTTCATAAACAATGTTTTATACTAATTAAAAGTGTCACTCGTTTATATACCCATGATCAATGCTAAATGATCGTGAATTTTTAAAAATATCGAATAAGTCAATATTCAAATATTTGTCGGAGACACATAATTGAAAGTTTAAGAATCTATTGAACATTTTTTAAAGTTGAAGATTTATTAGATACGATTTTTTTTTAACATAATAGACACTTTTGAAAGTTCAAAAACCCATTAAACTCAAATCTAAGAGATCGAACTTATAATTAAAACATTTTTACTCGAATCAACATGGCATAGATGGGAAGGATTGTGTGGCCAAGAGCGTAACCGAAGATGTCGATGAGGAGAACAATTCACTCACTTGGAATGTGTTGGAGGGAGACCTATCAAAGTGAAATACTATATAACATTATATAGATCTTTACATGTTTCTAATAAAATGAGAATAAAGTTTGTAATATGTTTTTGACGCAATAATTATGCATTGTGTTTGAGCATTTCAATAAATAATCATACATTTCACTTAATAGGAATTGAAACATTTCAATAAATATTCAAATTACACGATGCTTTGAATATTAATCATGTACGTATCATGCATGAAGGAATGATTCATTATAAGCTCGTGTATGCACTTGTCTCAACTATTTAGCTCATGTTTTATCGGAAAACGAAAGTATAAGATGAATGAATATAAAAATATTTAAGTAAGTAATCTCCTCGTTATTCATTTATATTATAGAAATTATATTCAACTGCTCCCTGAAGATTTACAAATTTGAGGAATAGAAACTCGAATCAGAACAAAATTGTCCTCTTGATTTTCGAGAAAACAACACTCATTTATCCTTTAAATTAACCTCAAAACTTGGTTTAAACCCTCAAAATCTTATGTTTTACTAACATTTAGGAAGGAAATAGTTAGGGATTTATGGCACGCTCTCACATGTGACAGATCTGTTGTAATGACTCTATTTTTCTATTATAAATAAAGTATCTATTGCATGCATGACATATCTACTATGTGCGGAAAAATTCATTAAAAAGATTTCATAAACGATGTCATGGACTTATACTTTCATAATAAATTCATTAAAACAATAAGACGGAAAATTAATAATGTGAATTTAAATAAAATAAAGCAAAATAAAGTAATGCCCTAATCTAATTCAAGGGCCACAAAAGCAACATGAATGCATTTACCCTAACTTTGATCTCATGGTTGTCATAAGGACCTCATCATATGCACAAAAATGTCTTACCTTTACCTGAAAATTAAGAGTAGCACATGGTTTGAATGCTTTTAAAAAAATACTCAATAAGTAACCCCATTGTTAGAGTCGAAAAATGTGATCACATGCAATATGGTGAGACCTATCATTTCATAAAAACATCATGACATGACCTTGGACTCCGCTTTCCAGTTAAAAAAAGATTGGATGTGACACTTGAGTAAATGAGGGGTACATAAATGAACCAAGATCACATATGAATGAGAGCGATTCTGAGGATATGATGACTAAGAAAGGTTAAAGGAAATGAAAGATACTACTCATACCAACAAGGTACATCTTTCTTTTTGATGACTCAATCATAAGAATTCCATGGTTAAGCATGCTTTACTTGGAGCAATTCTATGTTGGGTGATCTACTAGACACTCTTAGGAATTTTCATAGGATGTAGGTGCGTGAAGACAAAGCATGTTAGAATGACTCGTGTTGGTTTGTGGAGATAGTCTTCACTCTAAGAAATAGTCTCTACTCTTAGGAAGCAAGGAGTAGCACGACTAATTGGGCTAGCACACGCTCATACTATCGAACATTATGGAGGGAAAGAACCCGCATAATATCTTAGTTAACCTAAGCTGGAGTTACTATCTTATCCTTGGTGCTAGTTTAAAACTAGCCTTGGAGAAAGAGTAAACCTATATAAGTCCATCGTATTTAGTTAGAATATGTTAAAGGATTTAATCCACATATTGTTCTCTAATTTAGCTTAACACACTCTAAATTGGTGAAACAATGACTATACTCACCTCAATTCCATCTTATAATCAAAAAAAGAAAAACAGTTCTAGAATCGTCTAAAATGGTTTAATAGAGTCGTAAGATTCAGATTAGGTCATGGATTGGGTCATGGGTTAGGTCACTAGATTAGGTTGGTACAGGTCTAAAAGTCGAGTCATTGGCAACCGATTAGGCTATGGACATGGAAGTCATTAAGAGAAAGAATGAATACCTCTATTTTTTTTTATTGTTATCCTTCTTTATTCTTATGCACTACAATAATTTAAGAAGGGACGAAATTGATTAGAAAACATTATTGATGAGGTGGGATTTGTTATATTATAGAACAATGGGTAGCTTTATTTATTTGAAAATATTGATCCATTCTAACTAACTTATATTTATATTTCAAGAACTTTTTTCCATACATATTAGAGGATTTTTCAAAATTAGATTCTTTAATTGTGTTGGATATGGCTTAGTTAAGAATTAATGAACGACTAAATTAATAAAAATATCATTAAACTTTGCACTGTGTTTTAAAAAATAATCAAATTATTTAACCATTTTTTAAAATATAAAAATCATATATATGAGACCCTTCAATATCTCAAAAACTTAATAACTCTACTTAGCTATCTCAAATATTGTGATAATTTAATTTATGAGTTTACTGGTCTTCAACGTCAAAGAACCTAACATTATATCACTAAAAACAAGTTTAACTTCATAATGCAAGATTAAAAGAGAATTAAGTATGAAGAAGAGAAAATAGAAAGTTTGAATTAATAACGTTTAACCTAACCCTGATCTTAATTAAGGCTTGTAGTGGTTGTTTTATTACATCATATCATTCCTACCCACGTAATCAAATGAGTATTATTATAGAATAATAATGAAAAGATTAAACTATATCAATATCCTTTAGAGTAAGCCTCATGGCATCCATTATTGCATCATGTGTGAGACTAAGCCTTCTCTTTAAATTAAACTTAGTAGTGGAAAGAAGTTCGATAGCAACATCTATCTTTATCTTTATCTTTGTAACTTGTTCTTTCAAGTCAACTCAATGGCTCTTTATGGAAAGTTGGAGACTGAGGTAGAAATTAAAGCTTCAGCTGAGAAGTTTCACGAAATACTTCATCAAAAGCTTCACCATATCTCGAATGCTTCTTCAGATAAAATAAAAAGCTGCGAGTTACATGAAGGAGAATGGGGCAAAGTTGGCTCGATCCTCTATTTCACCTACGTGCATGGTTTGTTAATTAATATACGATCTCTTCCAATCTCCCACTTTTTATCTTTTATCGATTAAATTGTAAGTTCAGTTTCTAAACTTTAAAATTTGTGTTTATTAGATTTATGTTCTTTCCTAACCCTTTTTGTTTGAATGTTATATTTAATGAACGTTTTGTGGATTAAACCCACATAGATGGAAAGGTTTCTGTGGCAAAGGACCTTATAGAAGCTGTTGACGAGGAGAACAATTCATTCACATGGAAAGTGTTAGAGGGAGACATTTTAGAGCACTACAAGAGCTTCAGAATTAGAGTAAAATCTATCCCAAAGGATGAGGGAAGTGTGATTCACTTTACTTTGGAATATGAAAAGCTGCATGAAGGAATTCCAGATTCACACAGTTTGCTTCAGCTTTGTGCTGATATCTCCAAAGACATTGAGGCTTACCTTATGGGAAACAATAATGAAGGTTCATTTATAGCCAAGGCATGACCAACAAACCTCTCACTTCACCCATAACTAAGGTGGTGCTATTACTATATTATGGAATAATACTTGGCAATTACTATGTTGCTAATTAGTGTTTTATACTTGGCATAGCTAAGGTGGTGTTTTATAAGTGTTGTGAAATGTTATAATCTCTGATCTTTGTATGCTTTTAATAAAATAGAACAAAGTTTGTGTCTTGGTGCAATAATTGAACGTCGTAATGATGCAACTTCTCGGATTAGGATTTGGAATTTGGATTCAACATTTGATGACCTAGACATATCCTTATGACATTGTCATCTTTCCTACTCCTTACTTCTTAAGAGTGAATACTATCCACACGACCAACTTAAGTCATTCAGATATGTTTTGTCCTTACTCACGTGTATCTTAGGAAAATTCTTCAAAGGTCACCTAACATAAAACTAATCTAAATTAAACACACAACTGTGAAGTTTTTATGATCGAGCTATGGAAGTACTTTTTTGATATATATAGTAACTTTCAATTATTTTAAGTTTTTCTTAACTATCTTATTCTCAACATCATTCTCATTCCGACATAGTCTCAGTTCATTCATATACTCTTTCTTTACTCGGATATCACACTTAATTAAAGAATTGAAACATGGAATTATTTGACCAACATGTTATAAATATATCTTTGACGGAATAGATTTAGGTCTCTCAATTACATATTAGGCCACAAAATATCTTCAAGTTTAAACTTCATTATGTAAAGAGTAATTGGGTATGGATTCTCTAACTTGTAAATTTCATTAAAATGATTAAATTGACTAATTTGAGCTTAACATTTAATAAATTTTTTGATTTATATTAATCTTTGGTACAAACTTTACTCAATTTAATTTGTTTGTTCACCCCCTTTCTCTTCTTTTTCTTTCTCAATTTCCTTTACTTTCCCATCATATTCATCATCCTAATTCATCAATCTCCTTATTATCCTTCCTCCTTTTATCTCTAATCAATACCAATTTAGAGAATAAAAAGGGAAAAAAAAAAGAAAGAAAGAAAGAAGAGAGATGAGAGATGAAATGGGTTTAAGAGAGGTGAGATGGGTTTAAGTTAGCTTCAAACTAAGCCTTGGCCGAGCAAGATCAAATGAACACTGACTCAGAATTTTTTTGTGGTTTCTGCTTAGACCAATCAAGGAAGTGAGCTTACTATTGGAGTACTTTGAGGCTAAGTTGGACGAATTGTATGATGTATGATTAACACGTATTTTGTGGCTTATCTACGTGTTATTACATGTATTATGTTATGCTTATAAACTTTTTATGATAAGTGTGATTTTAATATACTGATCTATATATGTTATTATACAATGTTCATGTTATGCCTTATGAGACACTTGATGACCTATGTATGATAAGTATGAATAATATGTCATGTACATGTATGTATGTCTCGTAGAAAGATTATATCATGAAATGTATGGAAGTATCATGTGTATAATGACCATGTACTATAATTTGAAATGTAGGATCTCACGCATGTTATAAGTCACAAACATAGGTTACTTCTTTACTATGTTATATATGGACGCGTTCACCATGATATGATATGCACTTCTTTCTTTCAGTTGATTTTCAATAGAGTGAGTGTTCATTAGCTCGTAGTCAGGCCTAGGAAATACGTATACGATGTCATTTAGTGGATTCATGTGTGCAAGCATGAACCAGCAGATACTACTTTGTGTCCAACTATACCCGTAAAAGAAAGTGGACTCAATGAATAGTCAAGAAAATCAGGTCCCACCATGAACCATGAACCATGTTGCATGTAATTGTATTTTTCGATGCCAACAATGGAGTAACGAAATATTTTTAAATATTTGACCTACTTTTAACATTTTTTAGGTAAAAGTTACAACATAAGATGACAACGTCAACTAAGGAAGCCATGAAATCAAGTTTGATATTAGAAGCGTACAAAAATTCAACTCGTGATGGCATAACATGCTAAATCACGACATAGTATAGTATGTTTATTTAAGTATAAAACACTAATTAGCAACATAGTAATTGCCAATAATTATTCCATAGCATAGTAATAGCATCACCCTGGCAATGGGTGGATAGAGAGACTTGTTGTTCATGCCTTAGCACTTACAAACGAACCTTCATCAGTGTCTCCCATAAGGTGAGTATCAATGTCTTTGGCGATACCAGCACAAAGCTGCAGAAAAGTGTGTGGATCTGGAATTTTTTCATGCAGCTTTTCATATTCCAATGTATAGCGAATCACACTTCCCTTATCCTTTGGGATACATTGGGTCTTCATCTTGAAGCTCTTGCAGGACTTCTCCCCCTCCAACACTTTCCAAGTGAGTGAATTGTTCTTCTCATCAACATCTTCGGTTATGGTCTTTGTCACACAATCGTTTCCATCTATGCAATATTGATTCGAGTAAAAATGGTTAAATTATAAGTTCCTTCTTTAAAATTTTAGTCTATTAGATTTTTGAACGTTCAAAAGTGTTTAATGTGTTAAAAAAAATTCAATTTCGTATCCAATGAATCTTCAACTTTAAAAAATGTTTAATAGATTCTTAAACTTTCCTCTTTGATAGATATCTCAATGATTAGCTTTGTGTGTTTATGTAATAATCCAAGATCACTATTAGTAAATATTGTCCATTTTGGCCCGTTACGTGTCGCTGTTAGTCTCGCGATATTAGGATGTGTTTAATATGGAGAGGGTCTATCCCTACTCTGACCAGTGTCTCGCATTGTTCGGTGGCTGGTTTTGATGCCATTTATAACGAGTCATAGTGGACAATATTTGCAAGCGGTGGGCTTGAGTTATTATAAATGGTATCAGAGGTAGACACTAGACAGTGTGTCGTGAGGATGTTGGGCCACCAAGGGGGTGAATTGTGAGATCACACATCGGTTAGAGACAAACGAAACATTCCTTACAAGGGTGTGGAAGCCTCTCCTTAAAAGACAACATGTTAAAATTTTGAGATTGGTGGCGATAAGTAATATGCCAAAATAGACAATATCCGCTGACAGTGAACTTAGACGGTTATCGTTTAATAGGTTATAGACCAATTTAATATTTTTTAAAATTCATGATTTATCTATAAAACATACCATTGAACTTAGTTTGCCCATTCATCTGTAAAGAGACTTCCGATATATGGTGAGGTTTTTGATGAATTATTTCATAAACCTTTTAGTTGGAGCCTCAATTTCTATATTAATCTCCCACTCAAAACCACTCTTATTCAGATATTATCTCAGTTCATTTATGTACCATTCTTTTATTGAGTGTCACATCCAACCTTTTTTGGACGGGAAAGCGGAGTCCAAGGCCATGTCATGATGTTTTTATGAAATGATAGGTCTCACCATATTACAAGTGATCACATTTTCCATCCCCAACAGTGAGGTTACTTATTAGATATTTTTTAAAGCCTCAAGTCACGTGCCTCTTACCTTTAAGGCACTCTTGTATAGATGATGATGTCGTGATGACAACCATGAGACCGAAGTTATGGTTAATGCATTCATGTTGCTTTTGTGGCCCTTAGGTTATGTCACAACATTACTTTATTGTACTTTATTATATTTAAATTTCCGTTATTAATTTTCCACCGTATTGTTTTAATGAATTTATTATGAAAGTATAAGTCCATGACTCAAGATAATCCAAGTAATGATTCATATTCCTTCCTGCTACGTGATTAATTTTCAAACGGATTATGTATGTAGATTTTGATTGAAAATGTTTCAAACCCCAATTAAAGAAATGAATGATTTTAAATATTGAAATTAACGAGTTGATTTTATTTCACGTCATTAGTAGCGATTTGTGATTCGAGAATTTCAGTTTCACTTGGTAATTCCAACAAGAAGGAATGTTCAAACACAATACACAACGTTAACAATTATTGCACCAAAACATTTTTTACAAACTTTATTCCCATTTTATTAGAAGCATACAAAGATATATATTATAGTATTTCATAGTGATGGTGACATAAAATAGGTTAAATCACGACATAATATATTTATTTAAGTATAAAACAACGATTAGCAACCTAGTAATTGCCAGTTATTATTCCATAACATAACATAGTAATAGCACCACCCAAGAGCTATGAGTGGTTTGTTGGTCATGCCTTGGTTATAAATGAGCCCTCATTAATGTCTCCCATAAGGTAAGCATCAATGTCTTTGGCGATATCAACACAAAGCTGAAGAAAAGTATGAGAATCTGGAATTCCTTTATGAAGCTTCTCATATTCCAAACCATAATGAATCACACTTCCCTTCTCCTTTGGGATAGATTTGATTTTAATTTTGAAGCTCTTACAGCCATTCAAAAGGTCTCCCTCTAATACTTTCCAAGTGAATGAATTGTTCTTCTCATCGACCGCTTCTATTACAGTCTTCACCACACAATTCTTTCCATCTATATGGGTTTAATCCATAAAACGTTGGTTAATTATAATTGAATTGATAAAAGATAAAAAGTGAAAGTTTGGAAGAGCGTGTTGTCAATGACTGCATGTCCATGACATGTCAAATTCTTTATTTGTTTTCATGTTGTAGTGCATTACTATTATATTTTCTATTTATATGGTTATTCGACGAAATTATGTCTAGGTTTGCGAGACCTGAATCGCCAAAAAATGTACTAAAGAGAGATGTGATCAATTGTCAACTCCTTCTACCTAGATTTTGTATGACCTTTCGACGAAAACACATCTAGGTCTGCCAGACAAGAATTGCTCTAAAATGAGTTGTCAAATTCTCCTCTCTAAATTATATGATATTTAAGCTGTGATGTTTTTTTTTTTTTTTTTTTTTTTTTTAAGTCACTTTTGAACGGTCTTTCAATCTTGTTTTCAAATTCTCTTCTCATGCCCACAAAAAAATGGTCCTTAATATGAAAAAATGTCTTGCAATATAAATATAAATTAATTCTATTTATGAATGGATCATTATTTTCAAAATGACTTCTTTTTACATAATTATGAATGTCTTTTATTTATTTTCAAATAAATAAAGCTACCCATTGTTCTTTAATGTAACAAATCCCACCTCATCAAATGTGTCCTAATCAATTTGGTCACTTCTTAGATTATTCTTAAATGATTGTGGTGCATAAGAATGATAATACACAAATCTCTTAATTACTTTTCAGTTCCATCGACTTTTAATTTGATGTTGTACGT